CGTCTTCTTGTGTGTCTTTCTCCCGGCCTGTGTAGGCAGGGAAGCCAAGCCGAGCCTCTGAAGGAGCACCAGGCACTTTGGGAAGCGGTGGGTGGCCGGCGTGTGTGGTGGTCAGCTCTCCAGGGAACTGGAAGGGCTTCCCCCACGCTTCAGCAGCTGGGTTTTAACTGTCCGTGAAGTTACTTTGGCGCCATCGTATTCCCTCGTTGGTGGGAGTGTCTTTTCCCCCATGAAAACCATCCGTCTTCGCAAGTGTGGTTGGTGTAAGACCAAGGATGAGATCTTGACCCAGGTTTATGTGGGGAAAGGTTGGAGAGAGTGTGATCACAAATGTAACTCAACATTGGTACTTAAATGCTTAATTGCAGACACTTTTAGCAGTATTCCTTTCTTGAGTGTGACTTTGAAACTGTATGAACGTTCAAAATATTTTAGCAACCAATTGATTGGAAAACAGGCAAAACTTAGTAGCTGAAACTGCCCCTATTTTATTTCATTAACAGAGAAAGATGGATATAGTTTTCTTTTTTTCTTGGTTACTATTTGGGATTTTCATAGGTTCTTTTTGAGTTTAACTTTGCTACAATATGTAACAGTATTAAAGTCTGCATTCATACTCTTGGTTCATAAGGTCTTTAGTTAGTCAGCTGAAGCAGACAGGCATCTTGAGTAGGTGATTAGTGATAAAATGCTAAAAACTGAAGAAGTACCCTCGTGGGTCAGAGTAGTAGTCCACCTAGCTCAGTACTTGATTTGCAGTGGCACTGTAAGAGATGCAGTGTAAGGAAAGCACAGAAGCCTGACCATGCCATTTAATTCTCCCTTATCATCCCTCAGTTTTTGGATTAGAGACTGTACAGGGTAGATCTTTGCCTGTTCCTTTTTGTGTCTGCTTATGGACTTGTTGTCTATGATTTACCCCATCAGCTTTCCATATTTAAAAGGTATTTGCTTGTACCCTCAGATAGAGTGGAGGTCTTCAGTGGTTTTTCTGAGCTGTCTCATTACTCAGTTTAATTTTCTTAATGGGTATAATTCCTCAGCTCATATTTTCCCCCTACAGATAATATTTCCCCTCGCAATAATATGGGATTAATATCATGTGTTTGTAGCAGTGTGTTTTGAAGGATGGATGATGCTTCATTTTATTTTAATGTGTATTCCTTCTACATAAAACTGCAATGAAATTGTAGCCTAGTACCTATTCTGGTGTGTATGATAAAATTTTAATATCACTTGCATAGTGCAAAAAAAAAATGGTTTGGGGACAAAATCAAGGATGAATTAACAAACAAAGGACAAAGTAAGATTGCTAAAAATTATGTGTTAGATGTGCCTCGCACAACTTCCTAAAAATGAACTTACCAGTGACATGGCAGTGTTTGGGGAACCTTTGGGAAAAGATTTTTTTAAAAGTATTTGCAGTGATGTCTTGAGTTCAAGCCAGCAAGGCTGAGTTGGTTCTTAGTTCCATTACAAGCTTGAATTACTTTTTTCCATTTCTCTGTAAAATGTTTGTAAAATTTATTATTTGCTTCCCAGTCTTATGAGAGGGCTACCTAGAAACTTTATTTCAACTTGTTAAGAATAATGAGATGATACTTAGTATATATGATTTTGATTCTGAATCTAATACAGGCTGAATGTAGCTAGTGAAGCAGCGAAAACCAAATGAAAGCAGAGTACAAGGTCCAAGTCACAATGGCAGTAAGCATTGTGTGGTTTTTTCATAAAGCAGAAAGGGAGTTGAATTTAGAGAAGTAGTTGGGGTTTCTCCTGTTGATGTTTCTAACTATCTGGTGATGCACACATTTTGCATTAGTTTTTGTCTTATTTCTATTCCATACGTAGTTCCAGAGTTACAGATTTCTAAAAAGAGTTCTGTTTCCTACAGTTGGCCTTGGCAGAGTTGTATGAAGATGAAGCTAAAAGGCAGTCATTGTGTCCTGACAAACCAACAACTACAAAGATCAACAACACAAAGGTGTCACAGAGGTAAGGTGCGCTGCACTTCAGAAATGTGTTGAACAGGGACTGTATTAGCTCACAAAACTTTGTCGTACTTACTTGATCTCTGTCTTGTATAAAAAGTGATCTGTAATGGTTCATAATCCAGAACTGTGAATCCCTGTAATAATGTGGAGTCTGTGTCTTCTCAGAATACTTTAAAAATTGTGTTTATTTAGGACCCTTTGTGCTGTATGATATTCCAAAACACTTTAAACCTACTTCAGATAGGATTAAAATGCTGTAAGTGAAGTACAGTGTTGCTTTTTGTTTACATAGGTAGAATTTGGAAATTTGCTCTATCAGAAAAATATTGCAGTTCTTTGCTTCTTCAGAATGCAGCAAATCAGTAGTTTGTGTGAAACTTGACAAGTGAGCTGCTTTGAGTGTTGTACTTAGGTCAGTCCTGTTTAAGTAACTAACCTGGTAAAACGGATATTAATTTGAAAAATTATTAGGAGGTTCATTAGTAGGCTCCTGTGGGATGAAGAGAATAAGAAGGGCTTCTTAATTAATTTGTCTAGTTTTGGCAGGTGGAAGAACAGACACATACCTATGTATAAATCCAGCTTTTGCTGGCCTGCAGTGTTTGCAGTTCACATAGCATTTGAAGAGTCAATATAGTCTTAAATTTTTTTATAAATAAATCTTACCAGTTTTTAATTATTTTTTATTTAAATTGTTTTAAAGAAGAATGGTACTGTCAGTGGTACCATAACAAGTCTTGTATTTGGCTTGTCTTTCAATCGCTGCTGCCAATATGAATCTCTGTTTTAAAGGAGGTTAAGCAGCAGAAAAGATCTTAGTCATCAGAGCCATGCTTCAAGAGCATCTGCAAGTGCAGATCTTCAGGAAGAGGGATTTTAGCACAGTATGTGACACTTGGAACATAATTTTTTTTTTGGTGATTTGTTTGTTTGTTCGTTTTGGTGAAACCGCCTAAGTTGACTAATCAGCTGTGTAGAACACAGTTTATAATAAGTAAAGCAAACAGCTCCATGTACCCATGCATATCATGAAGTTTCAACTTCCCTCTCCAACTGAAGGAAAAGCTGGAATATAGTATCTTCAATACTTCATTGTGATGGCTGTTGGCAAACATTTGCTCTTTGTTGGCAGTCACTGGAATCTGTCTGAGAAATAAGGGATGGCTGCTATTTGCACGGTATCCAAAGTGAGATTTTTTAATTTTTTTAAATAGGCTTCAGTTTGCTCTCAAGTGAGCAGTCTGTTAATTGCAAGGAATCATAGTGCTGCTCTTGAAGTCATCTACTCATCTTGCTTTCCACAATTGGAGGTATATAAGAATGTATCTTGAGCCCAGCTGGAAAAAACGCCGTATTATATATGCTGTCATGTTGTGTGAGCTCTTTTAAGAAACTTAAGACTATTGGCACAAAAATACAAGCCCCACAAAACCTACAATGTGACAAAGGAAGAAAATAGAAGAGATTAAAGTGTTTCTAGTCCCCATGGCCTAAGTCGATAACAATACTATTTTTTCGGAGAAAGTAGTAAGAAGCAGATCCTTCACTAGGATATAGAATTACATTGTTTATCGACACTGATACTTAAAAGCTGTGGCCTGCTCTACTACACTTTGATTTCAGAGGTATAGCAATCAGACAAATTGCCTAAGTCTGAACTAGCGATCTGCCATTCCTCATGTAGCAGATCATATGTATGTTCTTACCCCAGGGTAGCTGGCCACCTCATAGACATCTTGCATTAATGAATTTTATCATCAGGTACTACAGGATAAGAGCATATTATCTGTACAGCTTTTCCTGGCATTTTGCAAGCTGACAACCCTAACTTGTCCTGTGGTTGCTTATCTATCTTTCCCTATCATAAAATGGAATCTGATTCTGCATTTTAATCATCTTTTGAAAGTCTTTGCAATGTTGCCGCTCAATGTATTTTTAAGATTGTGTGAAATAGAAGTGAGAACTACAACTTTTTAGTTTTTAGGATCCTCATAGACAAGGGCACTGGGATATCAAAGAAAACCAATTTAACCAAAGTTAACTTCACTAGGCAACTTGCCTATTCACAAAACCAGTTAAAATGTGGAAAGAATTTGAAGTGTAATTCTGGTAAGATGTGTTATCTGTGGGATCACCAGTGGCACAAAGCAGAATTCTGCATAACCTATGCTAGAATAGAAAAGAACAGTTAAGTTGGAAAGGACCTACAACAATTATCTAGTCTAACTGTGGCTGCAAAATGCCTCTGCTGTACACGTGC